CAACCTCGTGGCTGGGCGTGTTGGTTCACACCTGTAACCCCAGCAATTTGGGAGGCTGAGGTGGGAAGACTGCCTGAGGCTGGGAGTTCAAGGCCAGCCTGGGCAACATAGTAACACACGCATCTCTAAAACCAAATAAAACACGAGAAAAAAAGAAAAAAAAAGCAACCCTTTGGAGCAGAACTTGCCCATGGGCACAGTGAAGTGTGAAATTCACTCAGAGGCCTGGACCATAGGCATCTGGATGAGGGCCAGGAGAAGGAGCCGTCCTCAAACGATGGCCTGCCAGTCCCCTCACCATTCCTACCACCAACAGCTCTGCTACTTCAACCCCAGACATCCAAGCGGTTGAAGCAATCCGAAAGCTCAGGGATGTAGAAATTGGGAAAAAGTGGCAGGATACTTTCTGGGCTTTGGGGTCTAAGTTGGAGTCCCAGTTCTACCAATTGCCAGCTGTGTGATTAAGTCAATTAATTAACTTGTGCTAAGCACCAGTTTCTTCTGCAGAATGTGGGTAAGTAACTGAGAAGTTCTATGTCTGTTGGCTAACTGCAGCCAGCGCCCGGCAGGGCAGGGGCACACGTGGAGTGCGTGCTCAGGAAAAGCCCTGGCGCCTGGCACTACTTCCTTCCCTTTCCAGGCTTGAATACAGGATGTCCCCAACATGTGAATGAGCTCTTTTCCAATAGTACATGTGCAAGTCCAGTGTTTTGAGTGCAACAAAGTTAGCCTGGGTACTCAACTAACACAGATGGCTATATAGGACTGTATGTATTTAACGGGTTGTACTGACACCTGGTGGAGAGAATCATACATAAAAAACCGCAGGTGTGTACCTTTAAAGTTTATAACTTGAAGGTTTATATGTAGGAGAATTACTGTATGCATCAGACAGAACTATGTCACTGCCAGTCATTTGGAATCTGAACACCTCTCAGAACCAGAAGTAACTTCTAATTTGATGACACATTGCTTTTTACAGATGAGAAAGCAGAAACCCAGAGAATGTAATGCTTGGGGCAATATACTCTTCTTTCCCCCATTTTCTTGCTCATGTATGTCAGAGATTGATTTTCTAAGAGCAGTCCTAAAAACCCCTCCTCACAAATACCCTGAAAACCAAGTTGTTACACACGGAGCCAGGACATCAGAATGGGATGGTCAGGGGACCCAGCTCCACCACCAGATAACTGGGCAGCCCTGGGACCCACTTTTTTTTCACCTGTCAAAGGAAGCCCATTCAAACATCCCCAATGTCATTGCCAGCTGAAATAATTCCATGATTTCCAAAGAATCAGAGCCCGTTTCTTTAGAGATGTAACTTCACCATCGTCCACCAGGTGGCAGGGCATTGCCTTTTCAGAAGTCTGGATAGAACTAACACAAAAGACAGAACTCTAAAGAGCCAGAAGGTATTGTTCAGAGCATGAAGTTTTCTACAATCTGATTGTATCTGGTTTTTATTTTAGTGTTAATCACGCCTTTGGCCAACAACGTGCCATGCACCAAGGGGTGGGGGCCGAACATGGATTCTAAGGTATCAGGGTGGGATGGGCCCAGGAGACAGACTGCAGACTGCAACCTTTGGGACTTCTTGGTTCTGGCAGCTGAAGCCACTGCCCCCGCGAAGGTGACCAGGCGTCGCCTCCCTAACACAAGTGGCACAGGAAGCCATCATCTACAGAAGGTGTGACTAGGTCGAGATTTTAAGGACACCATCACAGGATCACGTGACACAAAACAGATCCAGAGAGAGAATTTGAGAGAAACACTGAAGGTGACAGTCACAAACAGTGGTTAATTTTAAAATGCCCAGGGGCGAAATGCAACGTGGTGGTGTCCTGGATGGATGACATCCGGCAACAGAAAACAAAAATGTCGGAAGAAAAACCAGTAAAATCAGAATATGGTGCTCTGTTAAGAGTTTGGAGCCAACAGTTCACAGTGTAGACCAGCCAGTCACCCGAGGCAATTTCCCCCACCCCAGCCCCGACTTCCTCCTGACCCAGGCCCAATTTTGCTGCAAGCCTAGACGGAATCACACCACTGGGAGAGGGTCTGGAAAAAAAAACCCTGTGGCCCTTGGGGTCTCACCAAAAGGCGGGTTTACACGGTCACCACCACCCACCCCTTTTCTCCGAAATGAGCTGTGCACCTAAGGAAGAAGGCTATGAAACCCCAGCTGGCCATGTCCACAGTCCTACATGTCTGCATATACTTGGGGCATTATAGAGGATGTCGATCGCACCCTTGGCCCCTGAACGAAGCTCCAAGTGGGAATTTCCCTTTTAGACAGTCCGGCAAGCATGGGCTGCGGAACCAAACGGCCTGGATCCAAATCCTGGCTCCATGGCTCACTTTCCATGCCTCAGTTTCCTCATCTGCAATACAGAGGCCATGAGGCTGAGCCCACAGAATGTTTTGTGAGGATGTGAGTCAACAGAATGTAAACCTTCAGGACCACACCTGGCAAAAAACAAGGACTCACTTAATATTTATTGTTACAACCGTGTAATAATGAAGCACCAGAAAGGCCTTCACATTCCTGGAGAACTGGCCTCTACCTCATGCGTAGCGCGAGCCTCACACAGCAGGGTCTGAAATCCCACACCCCGCCCCCAACACACATGGTCCTCGACACTGAAGTGACTTTTTTTTTTTTGAGTCAGGGTCTCACTCTGTTGCCCAGGCTGGAGTGTAGTGGCACAATCACAGCTCACCACAACCTTGACCTCCTGGACTCAGGCGATCTTCCTGTCTCAGCCTCCCAAGTAGCTGAGACTACAGGCATGTGCCACCATGCCTGGCTAATTCTTTCACTCTTTGTAGAGACAAGGTCTTGCTATATTGCCCAGTGTGGTCTCGAGCTCCTGGGCTCAAGCAAACCTCCCACCTTGGCCTCCCAAAGTGCTAGGATGACAGGTGTGAGCCACTGTGTCTGGCCTGAAGTGGCTTTCTATAGGGGGAGGGATCTTCAGAACGCAGGGTGGGATGGACAGGCAGAAGCACGTGCAGGCTGAAGTCTCTCTAAGATCCTGAGTACTCTTTGGGGATTCATGCCGTTCACCTGAAGAGTCCTTGATAGAAACAGTTGCCAAGAGGTGCATAAAGAACTCCACACTCAAGATTTGTTTTCATAACCGTGAGAATCCTGCAATCTGAAAAGCTGTGTTTTTCCTTCTTGCCAATCTGATCTCTCCTTCTCTACATATAGTTCCAGCCCAGACTAAAGCACTGAGAATTCCCTTATATTTTCTGTGCCCTTTTTTCCCTTTGACTTAGGGTCTCACTCTGTTGCCCAGGCTGGAGTGCAGTGGTGCAATCCTGATTCACTGTGAGCTCAGCCTCCTTCCCTGAACTTAAATGGTCCTCCTATCCTTCTGTCTCAACCTCCTGAGTAGCTGGAACTACAGGTGTGCACCAACACACCCAACTAATGTTTCGTTTTTTTGTAGAGTCAGGGTCTCACTATGTTGCCCAGGCTGGTCTTGAACTCCTGGGCTCAAAGTCTTGGGCATGCAGGCATGAGTCACTGTGCCTGGCCCTGTGCCTTAAAAAAAAAAATGTTCTTAGAAGTCTTCTCGGATCATTTAGAAAACAAAGTAAGATAGAAAGAACAGCCGCACTTCTTTGGAACTAAGCACAGCTTCAGTAAGTTATAACACAGCTGAGACAGATTCCTAACAGGGGCTGGCATAGACACATGGGCCACAGCACGTCAGTAGGTAAAGGATGCAGTAAGCAACACAGTCGGGAGGAAGGGAGAGGGGAAGACTGGCTCCTGCCGTGGGTGTAACCGAAGCAGCTCTCCTATTCCCAGCACTAATTCCACCTCCACCGCCTCCCCCTCCATCTCTTGTCCATTTCACACCTATCCTCACTGATGTCACTCCTTGGTCCCTTAGTGGGTAGAGATACATACACGGCCACCCAGGCCTCCGCCTCCAGCCTTTGCCTCCAGACTTTGTAAGACACCAGGTAGCAAAGCAACACATTCATGCCCGCCGTCCTGTGTTTCCATCAGCTCCTGACGTAAAATTCATCTTGAAAGGCCATCTCAGCACTGGCTCTGGGGCCACCATCACCTTGTCAGCTGTGTTTAGACTGAAGCTGACTTGACTGGCAACAGCAGAGATGTGACTGGGACACATCTTTTTTTTTCTTTTCCCTAGAGACAGGGTCTCACTACATGGCCCAGGTTGGCCTCAAACTCCTGGGCTCAAGTGATCCTCCTGTCTCAGCCTCCTGAGTAGCTGGGACTTACAGGACCTGGGGATCACTACACAGACTCAGAGGACTGAGATTCTTACAGAACCAACGGGCATTATGGTGGTTTCTGGCAAAGGAGTGTGGTGTTGCCCACTTAAGTAAGAAAACCTGTTGACTATTTATTTGTAGACACAGATCTGTTTTGGGATTCAGAGCAACAACAACCAAAAAGGCCAGGTATGATGGCTCACATGTGTAATCCCAGCACTTTGAGAGGCCAAGGCGGGAGGTTTGCTTCAGCCCAGGAATTCAAGACCAGCCTGAGCAACATAGTGAGATCTCATCTCTACAAAAAATCCTAACAGTTAGCTGGACGTGATAGGATGCACCTGTAGTCCCAGCGATTCAGGAGGCTGAGGTGGGAGGATCGTCAGAGTCTAGGAGGTCAAGACTGTGGTGAGCTGTGATTGTGCCACTGCACTCCAGCCTGGGTGACAGAGTGAGACCCTCAAAAAAAAAAAAAAAAGAGTGCACCGTGCCTGTGCCTGTTTACATTATTAGTGAATGTAGTGAGATACAGGTGAAGTCTTGATGGTTCTAGAAATTCCCCTCCATCCTAACTCTGCCTAGGGATTTTTTCAAAGTGTCAGGGAAGCTAGGAAAGAGAATTGAGAGATAATGACTTATTCAGAGGCTCTGAGTTGATGGTTTGTAAAAACTGGGCCATTATCCGAAGTCGTTACTTTGATGTAAGAATATACCTGGTTGTTGCAAGCATGTCTCTTACCAACCTTGGCTTCTGGGTCACTGTTGATACTACACGAATCATCATCGTCAGCATGTGGGGCATTTCTGGAAAGACAACCAGAAAACGGGACTTAAAATCTACTGTAAACTGGGGACGCACAAGGCCACCCGCACCGCTGGTCCTTCTGACGTCCTACCTGAGTTTCAGAGACGCATAGCGAAGTGTGGCCCCTTCAAACTCTTTTAAACTGGGATCCGGGTTCACTGTGGCTGCGTGCAAATCCTAGAGGAAGACAGATCCCCGTTAACAGATGATGGCGGAGAGGACCTCGTATGGCCTCAAACACCAAAGGGAAGAAGAGTCCTCCCGCCAGGGGCAGAGAGTATGTGTGCGCTTAGGCAGAAGGAGGCATGCAGGGGCTGTGAATGCTGACGGTGCGGGCGCCTGTCCCCACAGGACCGCAGGGGCCCCGGGCCAGGCAGCCTGGAGCCATTCACAACGGGGGACACCAAGGACAGACCCGATGAGAGCCAGCCGCACGCCCCTAGAGAGACCCATGACTCTGTCCCTGCAGAATGCAGTCGTTCACAAAGAAGAAAAAGGTGCAGCCACAGCCATGCAGGAAGGAACGAGAAACCTTAGAGGATCCAAAATCTGACAATATACTTGCCTTCCAAATGTCACTATTAATCTTTCCCCCATTCAGAACAGCAAAATCACTCCATGGCTGTTTCTAGACATACAATTATTCACACAGAAAAAAAAAAAGCACATTGATTTAAAGAAAGAAAAGAAAAGAAAAAGAACACAAGACACCGTTGTTAGCATTGATATTCACAAGACAGTTAAGGAACAAATTCACTCTAACGGCAACTTGTTAGCACTCTGGCTGTCAACCTACACCATCACCTGGAGACGGGGCAGGGAGAGATGACGCTTTAATGACTTACCAAACCAATGAGTGGACATTATTGGAGGCAGACAGGGAAGGCATTTTCTCAATGTGGACTTTAAAAGCAAACAACATGCTTCCCAGTATTAAATAACTAGCACACCTAATTCCACAGTCACCACTTTCCTCCCTATAAACCAAACAGATCATTTTCTGGACATGGGCATGAGAGTTAGGATGATTCCGTGATGGGTTGAGAACAGGGGAGACTGAGGCGTGCCCACGGGGAAGGACACAAAGGGAGGATGGTGAGTTATTTTCACTTAAATAACCAAAAAAAGGAAGAACGAATGGGAGAGAATTGTTTAGTAAAGAACACAGATCAACACCAACATTTTGCTGGAATTTAACATAGCCAAACACTCTAGGCCGGGCACAGTGGCTCATGTCTGTCATCCCAGCACTTTGGGAGGCTGAGGCAGGAGGACTGATTGAGTCCAAGAGTTCGAGACCAGCCTTGGGCAATATAGCGAGATCTTTGTCTCTACAAAAAAATCTAAAAATTAGCTGGGCTTGGTGGCGTGCACCGGTAGCCCCAGCTACTCAGGAATCTGAGGCGAGAGGACTGCCTGAGCCCAGGAGGTTGAGGCTGTGGTAGGTGGATGCCTGGGTGACAGAGTGAGACCCCACCTCAAAAACAAACAAACAAAACAAACAAACAAAACAAACCCCGAGCCCCGCCCCATCAAAAGCTCTACTTCCTTGCCACAAAAGCCTCTTCACAAATTAATACTTGATCATGAAATGGTTTTCTAAACATAATGGAAAACATGATGTCTGGCCTCATTGGGAGAATTCTTGCAACAGATATTCCAGCCTAAGCAACTCCTTCCATTTGCCTCAGACAAGGAGAACATGTATTCTCCTTGTACTATGCCAAGAGAATATTCACATTGTTTTCAACTAAGATTTGGGGAAATAAATGAAGCCCATAAAACCCAGGAGCAGTCCTGTTGAGTTTGTTCTACTGACTGGTTAGGCAAATCTAATAATTCTAATAAATTCTTGTCTAATAAATCAATCAGTAAAACTTTTCAGCAGAATAACTTTTCATTTAAAGTTCTTTGAAAATGGGCAGTGAATACTAACCCATAACTTTTATTCACAACATTACTACAGTTTTTTTTTGTTTTTTTTTTTTGAGAAGGCAAGATTTATTGAGAGGACAGAAACGCTCCCATAGTGGGAGGGGACCCGAGGAGTTTGCCCTAAATTGGTTTTCAAAACCACTAAAAACAGAAACAGCTCAGTTCAAATATCCCGTGTGTTGAAAGATGTGCTGATTAAACTCCACAGGACTCTCCAAGGGCAAAGGCATTGCAAACGTAGGTTCAGTGTCACGACTGCACACTTGGTGTCATTTTGCTTTCTTTTCTGATTGAGACACCTGAACTGCAGTTTTTCATTTTCTCTTTTGTTTTTGTTTTGAGTTGGGGTCTCCCTCTGTCACTCCGACTGGATTGCAATGGCATGATCACAGCTACTGCAGCCTCAACTTGCTGGGCTCAGGCGATCATTCCACCTCAGCTTCCCGAGTAGCTGGGACTACAGGCACATGTCACACACCCAGCTAATTTATTTATTTATTTATTTGTAGAGATGAGGTCCTGCCACATTTCCCAGCCTGGTCTCGAATCCCTGGACTCAGGCAATCCTCTTGCCTCCGTCTCCCAAAGTGCTGGAATTACAGGCATGAGCCACTGTGCCTGGCCTGAACTGAAGTTTTTAAAAACAAAATATAACTTGGATCACTGTCTATTTATTTTTTAAAAATAACTTCTCTTAATAATGAAAAGGGCTGGAATGCTTCCTGAGCCTTACGTCTTTCTCATTCTTTTTAATAAAGACACCAAGGCTATGTGGCCCCAAACTGCCATCACTGTTTACATGTGAGCATTTAAGTTAAGGTTGCAAAAGGACATCAGATGATGAATTAGGAAGACCCAAGATAATCATATCGGTGTGGAGAAATTAAAAAAAAAAACAAAAAACAGGACAGATGTCTGACAAAAACACCTGAAATTGACATTATTCTCAAGAGGCACGTGGTGTTAGGACTAGCCAGGGTGAAAGGAGAGAATTTTTAAAAATAGGTACTCAGGAAAGCCTTCAGCACAAAATTAAAAGGGTTCTCTGTATGTGTGTGTGATTTTTAAAATATTTCATATATTTACTATTTGGACATAGGGATCCTTGTTAAATACAGGCCGACCCAGTGCTAACACTATAAGAATACAGCTCTCGGGCCATGGAAACATGAGCTGGCAGACTCCCAATACCCACCTTCTACAGATTTAAATAAACACAGGTCCTTTACAGTGATTTTGCAAATACTTAAAATAACATGGGCACTCCTAAAGAAACCTTTCAGCACAAAGCTCAAATGAGGAAAAATGGAAACCAGCATTATAGATGTTAGACCAGGCCACAGAGCCTTGTTTGTCTCCTATATTTAAAAATATTCATTTACATCAAAGATGACAAACTACCTCCCCATGAAAGTGACCATAGTTTCTCTCTTTTAAAAATTAGGGCCAGTAGGCTGGGCACAGCGGCTCTCAGTACTTTGGGAGGGTGGGCAGGAGGATTGCTTGAGCCCAGGAATTTGAGACCAGCCTGGGCAACATAGCGAGACTTTGCCTTTATTTAAAAAGATAATTTTTAAAATTTAGGGCCAATGACAGAAACACTCTGTTTTAAATTTTAAAAACGACAGAGTCTAGTCATCTAAATTTTTTTAAAGACAGAATATTTTCTACATTGGGCTAAAAATTTTTAGCTAAACATTTTTTTTTTAAAACCAACCCAGCAGAGATTCTTTGGTTCTACAGTCTGCAGTCATCCCAGTCTGTGGCCTGGGTGGCAGAAGTAGGAGGGAGGGAGGAAGAGGAGAGACCCAGAGACATGCAGTAAAAGAGGAACAGATAGGTAGAGGCAACATGTCTCGGTAAGACAAGGACAAAGATGAGAAAACGGTAGTCCAGGACCACAGGAACACCTCCCATGAGCAACAGCCTCTCGATCGGGGACCTTCCCGGCAATGCAGCCAAAGCCCTGCATGGCCACGTGCTACCCTGGTGCCACAGCCACAGCTGGGACTCTCCGGGGTCCTGTCCCAGCTTTGCCCAGGCTGCAGCACCTTTACTCTGGTTACTGTGGTGATGCCTGGTTCTGGGTGAGCCCTGGAGCCTTGGCTCCTCAGAGACAGTGTTGGGGGGGACTGACCCAGTGCCCAGATCACGGCGCCCTCAATGACCCTTCAGCACCTCGCAGAAGCCGGCGAGGGTGGACACATGAAGGGAATCCGGTCGTATCACCTTCACAACTGAGAGCTTTCTTTTTCTGTATTTTGCCGTTGGGGTCTTGGAAAGCAATTCTGCAAGTCAAACAAAAATGATGCTCTGTCCTCCTGCTGGAAAAAGGCCAATGTTGGAGTTGGTCCTTTGACAATGTCAACAGAGTGCTCTTGAAGATGACGTCTCAGGGGCTGAGAATGTCCCTGGGAGGGTTCTTTAGGGTGCCAAGGTCGTCTCCATGAAGTGGGCTCAAAATGCAAGCCAGACAGCGAGAGCAGAGGGTTAAACCCCCGTTGATAACTGGATGGAATGGAAAAGCACTGGAACATTCCACGGTGGCTTTGCTGAAGCTGTAATTGCATCCTCTCTGTGTGCATTTCAGAAGGTCTGAGGTTAACTCAATGGATGGCTTCACTATGGGCTCGCTCTCAACTCATGTTGAAATGGAATCCCCAATGTAGCAGTAGTGAGAGGTGGGCCCCTTAAGAAGTGGTGGGGTCATGAGAGTTCTGCCCCCGTAATGGATCACTCCTTTCATGGATTGATGGGTTAATGAGTTATCATGGAAGAGGACAGGTGGCTTTGTAAGAAGAGGAAGAGAGACCAGAGCCAGCACACCCAGCCCCATGACTGTGTGATGCCCTGTGCTCCCTCAGGACTCTGCAGAGAGTCCTATTAGCAAGAAGAGCCTAACCAGACACAGTCCCTCGACCTTGGATTTCTTAGCCTTCATAACCATAAGAAATATGTTATTTTTCTTTATAAATGACCCAGTTTCAGGTATTCTAAGCATCAAAAAACAAAGACCCACAGGCTGCAGGACAGTGGGGGTTCAAATTCTACCTCTGCTCTCATCTGATCTGTGACCTCCAGTCCCCCATGTCCAACACGGCTAGGGAGACATCTGTCAGCGCATGAGTCAAGGATGGCAGTTCTCAGCACAGGGACGGCTGCCCGAGGTGCCCTGGGTGCATTTCCTTACAAAAGCATTAGGAATTTTGCTTCTCAACCCTGCTCTGTCAAGACTTTGGCCTCAACAGGTGCAGCCATCATGTGGAAAATCTGGAATTCCAAGGAACAGGGAAGGCAATGTCAGTGACTGTTGTGTCAATTTATGTGTGCATAATTCCCTTTCCTCCTCCTCTTACTCTTCTTCCTCTTCCTCCTCCCCTCCTCCTCCTACCTTCTTCCTCCTCTTCCTCTTTTTTTTTCCTTTGTCCTTCTTCCTTCTCCTTCTCCTCCTTCTTTTTTAAGAGATGGGGTCTTGCTATGTTGCCCAGCCTGGAGTGCAATGGCTCTTCACAGAGGCTATCACCATGCACTACTGCACTTGGCAGCCATTTGTGAAACACTCTCTGTGTTTTGGGTAGATGCAATACTATCAGAAGAGTATAGCATGATGGTTTATCACACAAACATAACTCAGAGAGTTAAAACACACACACACACACACACACACACACACACACACACACACACACACAC